ACAAGAGACTGGTCACACAGTTCCTTCTAGTTCTTGGGGCCTGAGGCAGGAGGAGGATGGAGAGTTCAAGGCTAGCTGGGGCTACACAGACAGTCTCGGCCATCCAAAGCTACACATTGAGACTCTCAAAAACAAAACAGGAACCTGCCACAGCAGGCTGCTGTGTCTGAGTTATCCTGAGCTGGCCCTTCATACAGTTCTCAGGCAGGCTGATCAGAACACACTCCCTCTTTTAGATACACATGGGAAGGAGGTCAGAGGCAGAATGCAGGACTTTGCCAGCGTGATGGTAACATTTAGATGGCAGTGGTACAGATTCTCATCATTTCCCAATAGCTACACTCAAGAGAGGGCAGGGGCACTGGTCACAGGCTAGCCCTCCATGGCCAGATCCAGGAGTCTGATGCTGTGCTCAGTTAGTTCTAGACCTGGGGTGTAGTAGGCCAGTCCTCCCTGAAGGAGAATGCTGCTTTCTGGTTAGGTGTGGTAGTGCATGCCTCTAATCCCACCCCAGCACTCAGCAAGGGGGGGGAGGGGAGGAGTCTAAGGTCACCTGAGAGTCAGCATGAGGACAGTCACCTGGAGAAAGTGTGACCTCAGAGATCCAGACTCCATCCTCCTCCCCAAAGCCGGCAGGTATTTCCAAGTTACAGTAAGCATAAAGTACATCCTGGACACAGCAAACTAAGCCTGGGCGCACCACATAAGGAAGTTCTCAAACAGGGCCTGAAAGAGGGCAAGCACCATGACTTCCCTGGCATGCCATCTGTTGTGACAGGGAGTGGGAAGTCACCAGGGAAGCACTTGGTAATGGATAGCTAAATGACACCCACTAGGTGACTCAGAATGTGACCTTCCATCAGAAACACATTAGACACACACACAACTATACTGGCAACACTGGGGGTACAAAATCATTATGATTGGTGGAAGAGGCTAATAGTTACATAGCTTTTTACAAGAGTTAAAAGACATGTGCCCCAAAACAACTCTATACATTTTAAGGGACATACGTGTACAAAAAGATATCTTAGACCATTAGAATGCTGCCCACAGGCAGAGAAGAGAACAGGAACTGGGGAGAGATTGAGCAGAAAGGGGCCTCAGATGGACTGATGCTAGCAGTGGGCCAGGAATCCACAGGTTAAATAGTCCACCCCAATTCACCTCCAAGGGCCAAAACTACAAACCACACTGTTAAGCATGGTGGATTCCATCTGTAATTCCTAGCACTTGAGAAGCTGAGGCAGGAGGATCACTGTGAGTTTGAGGCCAGGATGGGCTGCAGAATGAGACTATGTCTCGAAAACAGTACCTAGCCAAAAGAAAAAAAAACAACATAATGCCAAAGACATTTCAATTGTGGAATGGCTGTGTTGTCTGTCGATGACGTAACAGAGACAGCAAACCTCATCAGGTCTGTGGGAGGCAGGAAAGAGGTAGGCTGAGCGATACCATGAGTTGATCCATGACTGATGGCCTGCTCCTCAGATCCAGCCTGTGTCAGAGACGTCAGGACACATTAGATGACAACGGGAGCTGTGTGGCATGGGCAGGGAACAGCATGTGGGAAAGGAATGTGTCTTCCTTGCAGCTCTACCTCCACTCCCAGCTCCGCCCTATAATAGCACTAATATTAGCAGGACATGAACAGGCAATTCCCTGGGACCCAGCGCTATGGGAAGGTACTCTCTTCCAAATCATTCGGGATACACTGGCTCCGGTCATCTTCATCCTCTTGTAACTAGATAACTCACTCTCTCTCTCTCTCTCTCTCTCTCTCTCTCTCTCTCTCTCTCTCTCCTCTCTCTCTCTCTCCTGTCTCTCTCTCTCTATCCCTATCTCTCCCTCTCTCTCTCTTTCTCTCTCTCTCTCTTTCTCCTCTCTCTCTCTCTCTCTCTCTCTCTCCTGTCTCTCTCTCTCTCTGTGTGTGTGTGTGTGTGTGTGTGTGTGTGTGTGTGTGTGTGTGTATGAAGAGGAAAAAGCATAATGCTCTGTTGGTTAAGGAGGTTGAGAGTGGATTTTGGGCGGTAGAGACAGTGGTTCTCAAGCTTCCTAATGCTGCAATTCTTTAATACAGTTCCTCATGTTATGGCGACCCCTAACAATAAAATTATTTCTTTATTACTTCATAACTGTGATTTTCCTATCGTGATGAATCGTGGTGTAAGAATCTGATAAGCAGGATATCTGGTATTTGACCCCCAGGTTGAGAACTGCTGATCTAGAAGGTCTGGCATCTGGGAAACGGGCAGCCTGGCTGCCCCTGCCCCCGGTCATGAGAGATGCCTGGGAAAACAGTCAGCTGGAGTGCTTGCTTCCCATGCCCCAGAACTGAGGCAGGAAGCTGCTGGGCCACACTCAGCGCTCAAGGGCAATGGCATTCAAGCATTCAGTATATACACGTTCTCGGATGACATACATTGCCTTTCCTGGGGCCGCTGTGGTTTTTCCACACATTGGTTCCAAGGGAAGAAAGGAGCTCTTTAACAGCTGGATTGCCTCTGGGGCTATTTTTAGAAACAAATTTTAGAATGTGTTCTAGGAGAGAAGTAGAGGGTCAGTCTCTCTTGGCTGTGGGAGTATGGGCTTGCATGCTGCCTTATCTACCACAGAGGAGTACCACGGCAGCTGCTGTGTGCCTAGGAAAGACAACAGAGTGACATTGCTGCGTCATGTAGACACTCACTAGAGGATCACACGGTGGTCATCCATTTAGCCCCTTCAGTCCCATGAGTCCCACCTACACATAGACCAAGATATCTCACCACCCTGGCCTTCCTGGATTTCTCAGCCCAACTAGTACCTGGAAGACACTGGCAAAGGAGTGAGGTCAGCTTGCTAAAAAGATGTTATTAAGAAAACAAACAACAACAACAAAACCCCAAGACAAAACTGGGTGTGGTGGCATAGACATACATTCTGTCAAAGAATATGGATCCATGCCATGAAATAGTCATTGATGTGGGATTAAAAATAGAGGGTTAGTTTATTTAGTGGTGGAAATATTCTAGGCATAATTACTCTTAAGGCTATAACATTGATACTGTCCATGATTTTAGCAGAGTTTACAGTGATATTCAAGCACCAAAAAAAAGTGAGGCAGAAGAGAGAACTCACCCCTCCCCCACCCATCAAGGGCATAAGGACAGGAGAGGAGCAGTCCCTGTCTCCCACCAGCTGCAATACTCAGGACCCAAGACTGTGCCCCTCTCCTGGTCAGCACAATAGAGCTGATCCTGTTGGCAGAGGTGTGGGTGAGAACTGCCCCCTTTTCTTATCTGACAGCAAGGGTAGCTGGCCCTGAAGTCATAAGGGTGGGAGAGCAGCGACTGCCCCCACCAGCTGAAACACTCTAGAGGGCAGGTCCTGTACCTCACCTGGGCAGCACTGAAGCCAATTCTGTTGGCAACTCAGTCCTGTAACTGTGAGCATGGGAGAGCTGTCCCCATTACTCATCTGCAATATGGCGGCATGGGCAAAGGATTACCTTCAATGCATGTTGTCAGCTTTGGTGGGGTGACATCATTTTCTGAGGTGTGCACAGTAGACCTACAGGGTTTTGCTGGATTCACTTGCTGGGGAAGGGCCATCTCTAGAAGGATCCTCAGCTATTTTTATGGCTTCTTCCATGGCTTCAAGGAGACCATTGCCATCTTCCCCTCTCAAGGCAGGACCAAAGCACTCGGGCCTCCGGATGAGCAACCTCACCACAATATTGCATTCTTTTCTACACTCTCTCCTGCAGTCAAAAGAGTAACATAAACAAAATACAAGACTTTCAGGGACCATATATCATAAGCATTTCTCATTTAAAGAAACATGTATACCTTAGAAGTAAACTATAATAGTAAATTCGGCTTTTAAATTGTATGTATTTATGGGGGTGGGGGAGGGGGGTCAGCTCACACACCACATGGAAGTCAGAGATCAGCCTGCAGAAACTATTTTTTCCTTCTACCCTGTGGGTTCCAGGGATAGAAGTCAAGGGGTCAGCCTTGGCAGCAAGTACCTTTATCCACTGAGTCATCTCACTGGCCCATAAATTCAACACTCAACACACATCACAACTTTTATGTATACTGTTGTGGTCTGCATGTTGAATGAGCCTCAGAGACTTCTGTGTCTGGATACTTGTCCCCAACAGACACTTCTGTCTTGGGAGTCTGTGGAGGATGACTGGGACCTGGGACCTAACTAGCTATCATAGGCTGTCAGAGAGGGCCTTGAAGGAAATTCTGCGTTCAGATACCTGCATTCGGCTACCTCCTAGCTCTCACTATTTATTTCCTGGTTGGTGCCATATATGAAGTTGCAATGCTAGCTCCTGTCAACCACAGACGAGGCCGTGCAGTCATCTTTCCTGCAGGGATGGACTGAGTACGCTTCTCCCTCAAGGTGCCTCTACCTACTATTCTGTCATATCAGCGAAAAAGGGATATATATATATATATATATATATATTACTTTCTTTGATAATAGTTTCCAAGTAAAGCCAAATATTACAAACTATTTGTTATGGAAGAAGAAATTGCAATCTCAACCCTTAAGAGACAATTGCAAAAAATCTAGAAGGTACATACAGATTTCAAGTTAATCCATGTAAAAATGTAGTATGAGTTATTGCTGTGGAAAGAAAACTATTAAATAAAATATACAATTTCTTATATTCACTTCCTTTATGAAAAAGCTATAATGTACCCTTATTTTTCATTTTGAAAAATATTAATTTTATTTTCAATTATGCACACACACACACACACACACACACACACACACACACACACTGTATGCATGAGAGAACAGATGTCCCACAAGGTGATGTCAGTTCTCTTGGAGCTGGAGTTTCAGGCAGTTGTGAGCTGTTCTAAATGGGTGATGGAAACTAAAATTGGGTCCTTTACAGGGTCAGATAAGTGATATAAATCACTGAGTCATCTCTCCAGCCCCAGAACCCTTATTTTCACAGTTTTTCCAGTCTTTGAGTACTCATGTCCTACCTTTACAGAAGACAGCAAATCTGAGAAAGTCGAGGTATCTCTCTCCTTCAACTGGATTCCACCCAATGTCTGGGTAACCCTTAGACACCAGCATCTGACAGCTCTGCAGCACACAGCCAGCCAGATATCAAACTACCTGCAAATAAATGATAAGCAAGGGGTTATCTCTCACTTGGAAGTAACCTGAGCCTATATTAAGTCTGGTGAGTGAGATTATCCAGAAGTGGTTTAAAAGACACGAATTTCATTTATTTGCGTGTATGCATGTGTATGTGTGAGTGCAGATACTCAGGGATGCCAGAAGAGACCATTGGGTTTCCTAGAGTTGGAGTTATAGGCAGCTGTCATCTACTTGATGTGGGTGCTGGGAACAGAATTTGAATCCTCTGAAAGAGAAGCAATCACTTTTTTAAATTAATGTTTTATTTATTTTACATATGGACCACAGTTTCCCCCTCCCTCTTCTCTTCTGTTTCCTCCACCTCCCATTTACCCCCCACACTGGGCCATTTCTCTAGCCCTAACAAATGTATCCTTTTTGCAATTCTTTTTAACATCATGATAACTGACACAAATTCTCTCTAGTTAAACTTTAATAATAAGACACACTAAAATATAACAAAGAATAGCCATTATGAATCAATTCTATAAGAAAGTAATGTCCTTGAATTCCATATCACATAACCCAAGAACTTTGCATACAAAAGCCATAATATCTGACACATCTCTGAACGTCTAATATCCTCTGACCCAATTAAAAACCGCCTGAGTGGATCCCCCATAACTCAGCTGGTAGAGAGGGAGACTGAAACCATCTGAATGCAGGAACTCCTGTCTGAGATGCAAAGGTATCTTGGAGAGAACTGAGTCATTCATCCATTCAGTGATGGAGTAGGCATGAAGAGGTGCTTAAGTGAGGGAACACTAACACAGAGGCAGATCTCAGCTCTGATTAGACATGTCTTACTCACTGAATGCATCATTTTAGAGCACGTTATTTATACTCCTTGAGTCAGTGCCAGAGTCTGTAAAAACTTGATATATATACTGACTATCTGCAAACCAAAAATCTAAAATCCCCAAAGCTGTGACATCTAAAACATTTTTTAGTGCTGACATGGAATCACAAACAAAAATGTCGACATATGACTTCAGATGACAGGTCACATTCAAAAGGCAGGTGCACTCGAAACAATCAAATACTTCATTATGTGTTCGCACTAATTTTTTGTAATCCAGAAAATGCTAACACCTGAGTCACAATGGATTTCAAGCATCATGGACAAGAGATACTCAGTCTGCCAATCAGCAGTACTTTTCAGTGCTGCTGAAATTAGCACATGAAAAATGCCTGCCTGGTTTATCTTTAAGATATTTCATTTCATAGGCATACTAACAGTGCTTAACATTTCATGAGGGATTGGGGCATAAAGCCATAGCCAATTGTGACAAAGCTTTGCAAGAATAATTTGACAAACAGAGTTTTATCCAGCATAGAAACAAATGGTATAGCTAAAACTATTATGTTTGTAGCATTGAGGCAAACAATGATCAAGAGGATGATCAACTTATAGTACAAATACAATGTGGTTTGAAAGGAGAACAATTCTGAAAAACCCCTACAACGTCCCATCTTCCTTCCAGGATACCCTTGCAGCCCCTCCCTCCCTACACATCTAGCCCCCAATGAACTACTTTCTTTTAGTACAAATAAGCTTGTTTTCAATAATATTCACACATGGAATTATGTGCCATGTACTCTACATGAGTGCATAGTCCATACCTTCACTTACCAATCTGTACAGTGATAGGTGTTTTAGCTGTGGACTGTGATGGATTCCTTTCTATTGAACAAATCTCTAAAGATGTGAAGGCTATGTGTACAGTTCATTGTAAAGAGTGAATGGTTAGACTGATAGGATTTTCAGACTGTGGAACATTCATTCAACATCTCCTTAGTGGGGGTATCCAGTTGCTCCACATTCTTCTTCTACATTTGGTATTATCAATGGTTAAATAAAAAAAAGATTTTAAGTGATACATAGGAGCAAAGTCTCCTCTGTGAATCAGAGATATGAAGCTTCATGGTGCTGATCTGGAATGTCAGGGGACTGGAGAAGAGCTCACTACCTTACATCTGTAACAGGGACATGCAGGTAACCCTCAGAGCCAACACCTTCTCTGAAGCTGGGAAAGCATTTGCAAAACTGCTGATGTCACCAGTAGCAGTATCAGTAGGAAGTGGGTTTTTAGAAACACATATAAAAATAGCAATGTTTAACCTGCATGTGAGCTACCTAACAGTGTCAACTAGTGATGGAGCTCCTATACGATCACAGTTCTCAAAGAGCACAGCCTCTAGAGAGGCCACAGATGTCTTGTTTTGGGGAGGTACATTTTATGATGCTTGTATCACAAAGATGCTATGGAACTGCATTTCTCAGAAAGTTTTCCTGCTAAATGTTATATGAATATATACGTGATATATATATGCATGTATACATATATACAACACAAGTGATCATATGAATGAAAACCAATTGGTTGGCTCTGTAAAATGCTGATCCATCAGTACATCCATTACATTACATACTGTGAGAAATTAGCATGATGGAAGGCAAAGACAGGTTTTGGACAAACATCTCTCACTGCAATCTCTTTCTATCGCTGCAGCTCATCAACCTCATACGGAGCCAATCTTGCTACTTCTGGATGTTCCACATAAAAACTCTTCTCAAACTTGGGGAGTTCACTCAAATCCCACTTCTTTTTTAGTAACCGCTCCCCGGGATCACCAAACGTTTTGGGGGGAAGGCCACTACCACCTCTTGCTCCAAACCGTCCACAGTCTCCGTCCCGAGTCCCGATCCTGGTCCCCAAAGCCGCCTCAGCGCATGGTCCCAAACGGGTAGAGATCTGGGAGCGGGGCCCGGATGGCCGAGCCGAGCTTATGGCACATTCATGAGGACAAAGGTTCAGACCCCAGAACCCATATAAAAGACAAACAGTAGCAGGCATGTCTGTCATTCCACTGCGGTAATGAAATCTTGTCTTAAATTGGGTAGAAGGCACATACTGATACCAGAGGCGGTCCTCTGACTTCTCCCCCCACCTCTATCACACACACACACACACACACACACACACACACACACACACACACACGCACACGCACACGCACACGCACACGCACACACCTACCTGACACTAAGAAAAATACTTTAAAGTTGAAAAGTAAGTTCTCTTGACAACAGTTTCAGAATACTTTTCTCCAGGAATTCTGTGACCTGCCATCTTTCCTATAGCACATCCATACACACTTATATCTGCCCTTACTTTTCTCTTTAGCACTTTCTCATAAAGGCACAAAGCATAGGTTTTAGTTGTAGCAGCATTAACTCTTCTAATGTGTCAAAAGGAAAAGTTGCAAGGTAACGTAAGATCAAGTGAAGTGCCCAATAAAACAACTCTAGGCTTTGTTATCTGAGGAAAACTTTCCCCCAACCAGTGCCTACAAGGGAAACACTCTAACATGGCTCGTTCATCCAATGGAGGACCCATTTCCCATGAATCAACTCTCAGAAGTGAGGGTAATGGAATTCAGGGCATTATAGATCAAATATGCCATAAGACAGAACTTAGTCCAACATTTGGCTAAGCGTACTTTTCCTGTCCTTGGGACCACAGAAAATTAACATGGGAACAAGAAAGGCATTATGGCTCTGATCTGACTTGCTCATGCACTTGGAGGGAGGCAATATACGCTATTTTGAAGCCTCTGGCCACAAACTTCAAGAGCTAGATGAGCTATCTAAAACTTAGCTCCCTCATGACATGTGAACTACTGGTACTGGATGAAAGAGGTCTAATAAATATTATTGTGTAGATGTAACTCTGCAGGTGTTTTGAGTTCATTAATCTCATTACCATCAACTCTTGGACTTAATTCACTTCAATTTTTAAGCCTTTTTCCCCAGAATTAAGCCTCTAAACTAATAAATGAACATCACTCACAACCAAGGAACAAAATCCAGCTTTTATGACTTAAGATAACTTTCTGTGTCTTCCACACACTAAGTGTAAGACATGCCATGGTCACCCAAGAACTGTCATATAAATGCAGCTTCATGAACTACACATGCCTGCAACATCCAAGTGATTATCAGCACCTGAAAACTATAATATTATACAAAATAACACTATTATTATAGGAGAACTGAACTCTGAAGTAAACCACAGAATACTTACTTGTGATCTGGAGAAAGAAATACAATTTTTAAGAATTCAGCATTTGTAATAAGTATTCAGATCAGTACTGAGAATTAGCAGCTGGTATCTTGAGCGTATATATGTGCAATATTAATTTTCCACACCTGTCAAGCCATGACATGATTGGACTAGTCCCGTGGAACTTCTGTTTGACTGGTTTTTACACTATCTCACCAGGATCTAAACTAGTCATTGGATTGTATGGTTTTTATGAGGAACATTATATCTTTTCACAAACCAATTAAAGAGATTCAAAAACACCTGAGATTCTTGCAGTCTGTTCATGCATTAGAATGTTATTTTAATTACAAACTTAATGTTTGTAAGTTTCACAGCCCTTTGGAAATGTACTCAATTGTTTTCTTTTTCTGTCATGAAAAATATGCTTTTTGTTAAACTTTTGTAGTCACTGTCTGAGTGGTGACGGTCTGAACAACAGATGTTCTCAGATTGCAGAAAAGAAAGACAGGGCACAAGATTTCCACGTGGAAATTGTTTAAGGAAAAGGGACAGTGCCTACCTGACCAGAGGAGAAGGCCATCAAACCCACAGGAGAAGAGGTCATCACCAACGCCATTGCCACCCCACTCTTCCCCATACCCAGGCAGGGGTGAATGTCCTTCGGTGGAAGCCCAGCCCACTCTAAGTGAGTAGCTTCTGCTGTCACAAAAGGTTCAGTATGGTCCACCATGAGTTCGTAGTACCACTTCTTATACTACGCAGACCCTTCACTGACACCCAGGAAAATATTAGGCTTCATGCTTTTAGACAGAAAAAGACAGAGAAAACTTCCAATGGCTTCTTTAATCATTATTCTAAATACTGTTCCTGATTATTCTCTACAATGTACACGGCATTAATTTGACAGGCTCTAGAATCATTTAGGAGACCAACATCTGGGCACATCTGTGACCATGTTTCTAGGTTGAGCTCACTGCGGTGGGCATTAACATTCCAATGCGCTAGGGTTCTGGACTAAATAGAGATGAGAAAAAGCAAGCTAAGCAACAACATCCATCTCTCTGTTCCTGGCTGCCCATGCAAAGTGCCCCTCCATTTCTGTGCCTGTTGCCATGCCTTGTCCCTCCTGTGCCCACAAACTACAAGCCAGAGTAAATGCTTCCTTCCCACATAGCCTTTGCCAGCTACTTTGTCATGACAACAAGGAAAGTAGCTGATTCAGCAGCCAAGCCTACATTTTAACAATATCACAGAATTATAAAACCCATCAGAGAGGTGCTACCCAGGCCGACAGCACCCCCAGTTCACTGAGGTGATAACCCAGGCAGACAGCACCCCAGTTCACTGAGGTGATAACCCAGGCAGACAGCACCCCCAGTTCACTGAGGTGATAACCCAGGAAGACAGCATCCTCAACTCACCTTGACTGTGCAGCACCTGATGTTGGGTTTACTCGACCAAGCCAATCCAGAGTCTAATAGGACTTTTTTTTTAACTGATCTTTTGAAATTTTCATATCATTAATCAAATGTAGTTTATAAAATGAGATACTTGATACAACAGGATCACATAATAAATGGAGCTGTTATTAAGCCAGGATATGTGAATCTTCCTCATGTAAGTGCCATGTCACATGGACTATTATATGAACAACAGTAGCACATGACTAATGAGGATTGTTGCTGTCTGTTGACTCCTTACTTTCTTTGAAAAGAAAACCCTTTGGCAAGTTTCATTTAAGTCCATTTTAAGAGTGGGCTTACATGCTGGGCAGTGATGGCGCACACCTTTAATCCCAGCACTCGGGAGGCAGAGGCAGGCAGATCTCTGTGAATTCAAGGCCAGGCTGGACCGACAGCCTCCAAAAACAATACAGAGAAACCCTGTCTCGAAAAACCAAAAAAAAAAAAGAGTGGGCTTACATATCTGGTGATCCCTGGAGAAGTGGAGATAGCAGAAGTACCACTCATTAACATCAGCCTTATCTCCTGTTTAAACAACACAACTCAGGGAGCCTGGAGAGGTGGTTTAGAGATTAAGAGCACTGGTTGCTCTTGCAGAGGACCCTGGTTTAATTCCTAGAACCCATAAGGTGGCTCACAACTGCCTATAACTCCAACTCCAGAGGATCTGATGTCCTCCTCTATCCTCCAGGCATGTATGTAGTATATACCATGCACTCAAACTCAAATTGAAAATAAACAAATCTTTTAAAAGCTGCAGATCTCACACCACTTCTGTCTATAGAAGAATACAGTGACAGAAGCTTATGTAAGCCCATTTACTCTACCACACAGAGCATTGTGTTGACATGCTTTTCTGGTACTGATTTCTTTTTAATCTAGAGGGATTTTTTTAAAAAGACAACATGGTATAGTATTCACTAGCTCAGCTTCTGCAGACAGACCCAAGCATCACCCCAGTCCCACCCTCATCATCTACAAAAGTAAGAGAAAAGCAGTACCAAAAGAAACCTCACAAAATACAAACAGCACAGGCCATAGACAAATCATAGCACTAGGTAGCTTGTAGGTGACACTCATCACTGTCAGATTCCCTAAAAGGCTGATCCAATAGAAAATGTCATTTCATTAGCTATTTAGTTTGAAATGTGTTAGGCTTGGAGCACCCTATGATTTTTGTCACCAGTAGTGGGCACATAAGAACAGTGTGACTTCTTACAAACTACCTACAGCTTAATCTGTATATTAATTAATGCAGCTACAGCCTGCTTCTGAAGATGCCAGTGACAACTTCTCTACACATGAAAAGTGAACAGAAACTCTTACAAATATGTTTGCAGTAAGTTCTTACTTTGCTCAGTTCATCTATTGTTATTTTACTAACCTTTCTACTTGGTAGACAACAGTAAGTGTTCAGTGGGGGGAAGGACATACACAAACCCTTAGTAAAACAAACAGACCTCCTTCTGGCTTCCCTAGAGAGACAACTTGCTGTGGTGTCAAGAGACAACAATGTCTGTGGGAAATTACCTGCTGACATGATTCACAAGACGGGTCTGCAGTAAGAGATCTCGTCCTGGCACGAGATTGTCACAGATGAGATGCTGGTTAGAACGGAGAGCAACCCCATGGCAAGCACAGAGAGAACACAACACATCCAGGACCTGGGGAGAGTCAGACTTTAACAGACTCTGAATTCATCAACAGCACTTTCCACAAGGCAAACACAACCCCAGCTGTGATTGATCCCATCATTTCTCCTCTTTCTCCCTTTCTCTCCCTCTGTCTCCCTCCCCCATGATGTACATGTGTATGTGTGGTGTGCATGCATGTTCAAATATGTGTGGACATGCATGTGTGTATGTGCATGTGAAAGACAGGCTGATGTTGGGCATCTTCCTGAATCATTCTCCCCACACATACTGAGGCAGGGACTCTCACTTGAACCCAGAGCTTACCAATTTGACTACTCTAGAACCAGCTTGCCTAAGGGGGGGTCTCCTATTTCTGCCTCTCAAGCACTGGGATTACAGGAAGTGTCTCAATTTCCCAGCATGCATGCGGATGAGGGGGATCTGAACTCTGGGTCTCATGCTCTCACGAGCCCTTAACCATGCCTCACCCACAGCCTCAGCTTGGTCATTTTAACATGACAGTGTGTGTCCCAGTGGCTCTACACCTTTCTTTCACATACAGAGCAAGAACTGTTTGTACTCTCTCAGTTACGATGACTATATAAGAAACAATCTTACTCCATGGTAACTAAGGATGAAAACAGTCACGAAAACTTCAACATCTTGAAATTATCTTATGTTGGCATATATCTCAATTTATTAGTTTATTTTTGACTGATACATGAAGACGAAACCATACTGATATCTAGGCTTTCAGGTATGCTTCGATGCATGCACATGTTGTCTGTTTTAAATCATTTTATAACATGTTAGATATTTTGATCTCTCAGTGTTTTACTCCTTTTTAGCTTGTTGGACATTTATTCCATTTTTCTCACAGGTGTATATTTTCAGTAGGCAATCACATGCCCATGGCTCAAATTTCCTATCATTTCATTATGGAAAAAAGCATTTAAAATCCTTTCTTCTAGCCTTTTGCAATATATAGCCCACTCTTCACTATGTAATGGTTTTAGAATTCACCTATGGAAATCAAACAGCTCACTTACCTTGTGATTTCTTCCATGCTTGTCTAAAAGTGAGATGATGGATTTGATATGCCCTTCCTTGATGATATTCAGAGCTTCTGGGATTTCCACTAACATGCAGTGAAGGACCTCCAGACAAGGAAAAGGGAAAAGGAGGCTTTGGGAACTAGTTCCTTTTTTGTTTTAGTTCATTCAACTTCACTTGCTCTATTTCACATGTAATTACTTTGTGCTCAATGTGTTTGGCACTGTGCGAGGCAACAGGTGGCATTTGTCAGAACAGACAGACATCCAAAGGCAACAGATCTCAGTGGAGAGAGGTGTGGAGCTTAGCTGAGGAAGGTGACTGTACCTCGGGAGTACAATAGAGCAGTGTGGCAGGCTTGGGGGACTCAGCAAATGTATCCCCCAGATATTCAGAGAGGAGGGGGCAGAACATCAGTCAGGCTTGAGCAGCAGGCACACCAGGGTGCAGTATGTGAAACAAGCATGGACGGAAAGTAGCTTGGGGCAGATTCTGAAGCTTTCTGGCATCAGAAACATAACCCTAGTCAGCAAGAGAGACAGGTGGGTAAAGGCACTTGCAGCCAAGCCTGACAACCTGAATTGGATCCCCAGAAAAAAAATATTTCATTTAAAAATTAAAAGAAATAAACAGAACAGTACAGAAATGAAAAATATAAATTATAACCACCACAAAAGTACATGCCTTTTCTTCTTAAGGCTTATAAAAGAACAAAGACAAAATGGGTTTCATTATCAGAATGATTAGTGTATACTTGAAAAGCTAACTGTAAACCATGTTCCTTTTTTTCTATTGACCCATCATTGGGCCAGCAAAATGGCTCAGGTTGATAAAGGTTCTTGCTGCCAAGCTATTTGGCCTGATTATGATCCCCAGGCTACACATGGCAGAAGAAGTCTCAAGTTGTCCTCTGCCCTCCACAAGTACACGGTGACATGTTTGACCACACATACCCATGTGCACACATACAAACACAAACACATGCAATTTCAACAATTATTAATAAAGAAATAAACTATATACCCAATATTGCTCATCAGGAGACACAACCTGCAGAGCACTGGCTCGCTCTCAGAGTCTCTAAGAACTGCACAGAATTGGTAAGAAGCTTCTAAAACTCTGTAGTGAAGTCCTTATGTGTCAAGTGGAGTTCACTTTCTTAGAAAAGAGGCTTGTTAGGCTCACAAAAGAGGATGCAGGCATCATTCTCTCAAGTTCTCAGGACCTACGCCTGACCCAGATCCTTGTCCTCTACAGACAAGGGCAATGGATGCCACATCTATTTCATTTCTATAGGACCTCAAAATCTGGGGCTAATTTAGCTGTTGTCCAATAGCCTGACAATAATGGGAGGAAAAGTCAAAGAAAACAGAAATTCAAGAAGTCAAGAGTCAAGGTAGAAATGCTGACATCAGGGTACCAAATCTGTCCTCTGCTGTCACCATCATCTAAAATGCAGCAATAAAATATGATGCCAGTGATGGGAAAGTACTTCTAGTAGGTTTCCTATGCTATCCTGACTTTTTTCTCTCCATTATTTATTGCTACAGACGCATAGATGCCTCGATTTATTAATGTAGTTTATTGTGTTGTCCTAATGCATACATTTACTGACAGTGGTTACTTCCCACTACAAATCTGAACTGAGGGACTGTACAAGAGATCTTCAGGCACTCAGGCTCTAGACTATTATCTGGATGCTATAACATGAGGTCATGAGGGCTGATTCTTTATGCCTTTACAGAGGAGGAAGGCGACAGGAACATGCTTGTCCCTGACACCCAGGAGAGGATAAACTGTCAATGTGAGAGGAGACCCACACACCAAACCCAAAAGGCCTTGTCCAGACGCCACTAGGTTTAAGAACAGCAACACATTTCTGGGACTCGTGGCATTTTGTGTCACTCACCCATATTGAGGCATTACCCTTCTACAGAAAGTTAGCCAGCCTCTGCTGTATGCAGAAAAAGAAAAACCACCAAGCAATAGAATACTGAGAACAGGTCCTCTTAGCAGATAATCACTCACAAAGCTCACAGCATGCTCAAAACTGAATGCATCAGAAAAGGAATATGGCTAGATCTGGATGTGAACAGAGTATACTGCAACACCGAAGAATGATAATGTGAGAATAAACCACTGGCAGCAAGATGGAGGCAACAACAGGAGAAGCATTAGAAGCTCATGGGTCAGCTATACTGTGTACACAGTGGTGAACAATAGGAAGACTATCTCAAAAACGGTAGGGAGCAAGGACCAATATGAGATTGTCCTGTGATGTCCACATACATGTATACATTTGCGGTCTCTCTTTCTCTCTCTCTCTCTCTCTCTCTCTCTCTCTCTCTCTCTCTCTCTCTCTCTCTCTCTCTCTCTCTCTCTCCTCTCTCTCTGTCTCTCTCTGTCTCTCTCTGTCTCTCTCTCACACACACACATATATACACACATGAACATACCATATATACACAAATATTAAAATAAATGATTGTAGTTTCAGTATAAGATAAATTAAACAGCATGGAATATTCTTTCTTTTTGTTAACAAGGGATAAGTCATAAAAGCAAATGGAAGTTATCCTAAATAGTGTTTCTATACCTTACCCAACTGGAGAAAGAAAAAATGTATGTCACATTAGTATTCGAATGCATAAAGTTTAAAAATCATGACTGCAAGAGCTGTGGCTTCAAGCCTAACTGAGAAAACATACATAATTACATATACTTTGAATTTTTCAGTATGTTTTTTAGGCTAAAGAGGAAAATAAGCTCATTATTTCTCAAGCTCACATGATATTGAGAAGGGGGAAAAGTTGACAAAGGTTAAATTTGAAAATAGGACACAAATTGGCAAAATCAGGACAGAGATGCAAACTGGAGCCAATGCATAATTTTCTTTTGCGTACATTGTCCCGCGCCACAGTCTCGCCAGCAAGAATGACACAGGACACTCGGATCCTTCTGCAGTAAAGCTTTAATGCATCTTGAGAGACAGATGATCAGCTTCTGAGGGGGAGACCCCAAGCTAAGAAACCCAGCCCCTTATATAAGCCTAGGAGCTCCGAGTGAGACGTGTAGAGCCGGGATTGGTGGTTTGCTCATCACCCCAGATGACGCCACGGGAGAGGCAGAGCTTAAGCAGTGGTTACTCCAACCAACAACGGATGCCGGCGCCATCTTGTAATGGCGATAGCGAGGGCGGCTCCTCACAGTACATAAAATAACAAAACACACACTGGGAGAAACATCGGCAAAATAGATAAGCCAAAAAGAGACTGAGGTTCGGGGTTGGAAGGTGGGTGTGAGTCTGAAGATTCCCAGGGTAAACTGAGAGAAACTGCAAACATGGGGCAATGTAACTATAAAGGACAGTTCAGCCTAATTAGGATTCTGATGGCTGCTCCCTTCAGTCTGAGGAGCCACTATTTATGAAGGACAGAGAAACTACAGTTGCCAAAGGACAATCAGGAAAAAGTAATGCCAGTTTCAAAACAGTACATGATTTTAAGACCACATGATCATATCAGAAAGTTGATACTATTCAAATTTTTATTAGGATACATTGTCTCAAAGAGATTATAGAGGCTGGAGACGAGGCTCAGTTAGTTGGTAGGGTGCTTGCTAAGCAGGCATGAAGCCCTGGAGGTCTGATCCCCAGCACTACTTAAAACCTGGTGTGGTGGCACATGCATGTAATCCAGCACTAGGGAATTGGAGACTGTAGGATCAGAAGTTCAAGGTCATCCTACACTACACAGTGAGTTAAAGGCTTGCTCAGTTTACATGAGATTGTCTCAAAGAACAGTGTCAACTTGAAACATAAAAACACTAGATGTCCCATGCCACTTTTGGTACTATGGTTGTTGGTTTGTTTTTTATTTTGTTTTACATTCATCAGTTTATTACTGAGTCCATTCAGTGGGCTAGTCTCTGTAAACTCTTTGGTCTTAGCAAAATGATGAACAAAATGACATTACTCCACAGCTCAGTGGGTTGACACAGATTCAATCCTTCTCTGCTTTTCCTTGACCTCAAGCAAGTGACCTGTAAGGGCTTTGTCCTTCTCCATCTTTGAATCGAAATCTGATGCTAGGATGGCAGAAACTCAGTAAAACAGATGAGCTTCCTTTGCCTGGAACATCAGGCAAGATGTTGGGAGATTTCTTCACTGTTGCTTTTAGATTGGCATATGCATAAAGAGATATTTTAGGGACAGAGTTCAAGGCTGTACACAGAATTCCTTTATGCTTCATATATATACATACCTTACATACATATTCCAAAAGTAATTTGACTTATTTTAATACCTACTATACTTATTTATTTACTCATTTATGTATTTATTTACTGTGTATATGAGTGGGCATGTGCATCACAGCATCACAGTGTTGTAAAAGTCAGAGGAAAACTTTGGGAGTTGGTTCTCTCATCCCAGGGGTGTAACTCGGGTCATCAGGCTTAGTGTTAAGTACTTCTACCTGCCTAGCCATGTTGCCAACCTATAGGCTATTTTATTCAATGTTCTAAATGACTTTTCACATGAAATACTGACAGAATGTCACAGATGAAAAGGTACAATGCCTTCTAGTAGACATTGAGTAAAGTATGTAAAACACTGCATTCTGGCTGTGACCCAGAATGAAGCCATCTAACTTTCCACTTGTAGTGTCTTATTGGTGACAAAAATAGGACCCAGGGGACTACCTGCATTGTGATATTCATTGCTTCTCACTGTTCTCTGAATCTTGAGATGTATGTAAAATATAGTCCCACAATTGCCTATGATAGATCAAGTTCTTGGTCTTGACAATTTCATATGTTATCATATCCATCCCCATTTCCTCTCTAGTTCACCACAATCATTCCATCCCCGTCCCCTCCCAACTTCACGTCTACCCATTTGTGTACAGATACGGGTGGCAGTAGGTGTGGGGCCATCTGTAGGAACGCAGGGAGTCCACCAGTGGCCACACGTAATGTAAGGTTGGAAGGAAGGAGTTGCTGGGGGAGGGACAATCATTTCTGTCAACTGTCAATAACTCCTTTGATAAGCAATGGGGCCCAGATAGCACCTTCCTCTTCTGTGCCAGAATTTTGACTGCATTAATCTTGTACAGGTCTTGTGCAGAAAACACAGCTACTGTGAGTATAAAGACCTGCTGATGTCAGTGGCTGTCAACAAAGATTTAAATCAAAAGTTAAAATGGGGCTCCACAGAAAAACCATTTTCTGTGTAAGCACGAGGACAGAAATTTGGACCCCAGAATCCATGTGAAAGCCAGAGGCAGTAATATGAATCTGTAATCCCAGGGCTCCTATTGTGGGAATGGAAGCAGAAACAAGAGATCCCTGGAATTTCTTGGGCCAGGAAGCCTTCCAATAAAGAAATAAGGTGAAGACTAATGCCCAAAGCCATCCACTGACCTTCACGTGCACACTCTTATGTGTCTGTGCATGTGTACACACACATGCATTCGCACACACACACACCATGCATACACATGCACCCACCACCAGATGTTTTTAAAGCTAGAACCACTGTCTCCAATGAAATAGCCTCTTTCTCTGTGTCATATAAGCTATCTGAGTTGGTGTCACTCAAGAAACTGTGATTTCTCCACCAGCAATAGTAGATCTTAAAAATCAACCCTAGAAGCTAGTCTCTTTTAAACTCAACACATTACATTTAACTGTACATCAAGGAGGAAGGCTTCATAGGACACCAGAGGCTTAGACACTCTTGCCCAAGTAGTGGAAGTAATGTCTTTAGAATACAAAGAACTTCAAAATTCCAAGAAATCAACAACTATGGTTTAAACCACCCTGTATCCAGAACACTGTGATTCAAAGCTCTGGCATCTGAAGCCCCCTAAGTATCCCTGCACTGATTCTGCACTGAGGGGAGTTGCCAGGCTTCCCATAAGAACATGCTCAACACTGTAAAACTGTGGGGTGCAGAGCACACAAAGGATGATACCCAACAGAAGCCCACCAAGCCCCTGGCTAATGAATGGGCTGCCTTTCTCTGGATGACTCGTCCCCACAAATACCACAAGAGCCAAGATCACCTAGAGAAAAGCCCAGGCATGGGAAACACTTCACCTTGACCCCTTGTACTTGCTCATGCCAACCTGCCATCTTTTCAATGAACTCTGGCCTAGTAGGCACAGATGTACATTGTCATGGTTAAAATTTGCACTGCCCCCACAGACAGTGGGATTTAAACTCTTACATCCCAGATGATTCCCCATATAATGGAAACTAAAACAACTGAACAAAGAAGACAGCAGTTGTCAGAGTCTGGGGGCAGGGAGGACGGACGGGGAGATACTGGTCAAAGGCAAGAGAGGTTCAGAGTTCCTGCCTGGAACGATTATCCTGTTTTGTGGACAGTCTTCAAGGATTTATGAAACCTCTTCAAATTCACTATGGTGTTATATTAGGGAACCTGACTTCCCAATTTCACCCAAATATTCTTGTGTCTTTAAATTATTTTGATAACAAAGGGAAAAGTAAGAAATCTAACATCTAAAAATTTTGTGTGTTTGAGTATATCAGGATTGATCAGTTTGAAGAGGAAGAAGAATCCTAGTTCTTTAGTGGATTTCAGGACTGTATCATTAGACATTTTATTAATGTAAATGACAAGGTTTTGCTAGATCTCTACTGCGAACCCATATTCCCTGGAAAAAACTACACCTCCCATTGACCCTTCTGCAAGGCTGAGTAATTGATGGGGACATCAGTGATTGTGGTGGAATGGAATGGTACAGGCCTGGAGCTTAATTATGATTTACCTTGTGCTATCTTCAGCATCCTTAACAGCCATTCTCACCTACCTCTGAGTCTCACTTAACAGCCTTGTAACTAACAGATAAAACCTCTCATAATGTATTATCCTAACAAATCCACTGCTTCCACCAAACAAAAGATTGAGCACCATCAGATAGCTCCTAGCCTACAGCCGAGCTTTCCTGCTCTGTTGTTAATTGTTCTACTCAGTGTTTCTACTGAAGCATTCGGAAAGTGCTCTGATTCATGACTTGTTTATTCTGTTACTATACAAACTTTGTGAAACTGCTGCTACATTGGGACATGGAGTTTAGGGTGGCCTAAGTCTATGTCCCCAGGCTTTTGAGTGGACTCTTCTCCCCTTTCAGGAGCTCTGTTGTGGCATCAACACTATTCAGGAATGGCAATGACTTGATGAACAAAAATATTCAAACAATTAAAAAGAAAACCCATGATGCTGAACGTGGAAACTTGCTATGTCTAAAAGAACAAGAAATGGAAGTAAACAGGAAGAAATATCATCTACATCAAGGAGAAAACTAGGAACATACCAGAGGATGCTTCCACAGTCTTTCCAGTCTGCTGATCAGCCAGTCTAGGGAGCCAGAAAATCGCACAGTTTTTACAATTTCCACTAATTTGATCCGCTGCAAAAGAAGAACTCACATTAATGTCATTTTCAAGTTCAAGGACCAAGGTAAGGTTTCAGGAGGCACAAAATATGGGATGGAGGGAACAAAGCATCTTCCAGTTTCATCTAAACCATATGCAAATGCAACTACATACATATTCACACACACATACAAAAACTGGGTATTTTTGAAAATGTCTTAGCATCTCTGGGAGGGGACTGAAAACTCCTCTTCTCATTAGAAGGCAAATAATTCCTAACATGCATTTCTTTTAATTAGCCACCAGACTGAACTATTTGATCTCCCCAGAACCCAATTTTCACACCTATACTCCAAAGAAGTTAAGAACATACCAGATTGCCTGAGACAAAATAAAAGGGCATACAGCTAGCAGCTATGATTCTAACAGGTATGCTGGGAGATGTAACTAAATGAAGCAAGGAGAAAGGATGGCAGGCCGACAATTAATAACGTTGTAAGCCACTCATGTGTGTGCACCTCTCTTCATTTAGAAGTCCACAGCCATGTAAAAGACTGGAACAGCTTAGAGAAACCTATTTTAACTTTTCCTAGTCTTGTGATTCTTAGTTTCTTTACTAAAGACTCTTTCTCACATGAAATTCTGAAGTGACAATTATTTCCATGAGGTTATATACTCAAATAAAAAAAATTCAGTTTTCCATTTAAAAACTCAGCAGATTCAGTTCTGTGACAGCAAGTCTAGTAATCTTCTTTAACAAAAGTGCTATGCTTAGACCTGTAGACTGTTCAGAAACAGTGTAAGTGCTCAAAGGTCTTTTTATAGCAGCATGACACTTGAAGGCAGAAAGCTATCCCCAGAGGGACAGTCATTGCCCACAGTCTTGCCACACTAGGAAGCAGATTGAAGGCCTGGAGTCTGAGGAAGAACAGGAGGGTGAAAAGCCTACGGTTAGACTGTGCAAGTCACACTTAAAGATGCCCTTCACATCTCCTTCCCAAGCAAAACAACAAATAAAGCTGATTCGTGTTCTGACAGTAAAATAAAAGAAACACAAAGGATGGGAAGTTTCCTCTCCCTCTGCCTGAAGGGAGACTTGGGAGCCTCAGAATAGGATAAAGGGGGTACATGCAATGTCTAGGTCTGGGGACAGGTGCTTGCTCCCAAGCTTGCCAACCCAAATATGGTGGAAGGAATGAACCGAGTCCTGCAAGTTGTACCCTGACCTCCATATGACCTCCATATTGGCATGACTCTGCCTCCCCCTCCTCTAACAACATATAAGGCACACAAATTTTTTAAATCAATTAATAAAGATAAAGTTTCCTTTCTAAAAGAAAATAATGGCAGCCATATTCGACATACCAGTCTTCATCTGATGACCATTCTCACCTCCAAAGTGCAATGTAAGTATAAGACACAAGACAGAATTCTTCCCTAATGCTAGAAAGACACAATTCCTACAACGTTCTTTAACTGCTGCCTTACTGGCCTTAATCTCTAAGGCTTTGAATCTTCCATACATCCTGTTTCCCCTCAGTTCGTCAAGAATTGTTGACATCAGAGTACTGGGCCCTGTGTGTGGCCCTGTGAATGCAAGGAAGTGTAAAATGTGAACAGAATACAGGGGCTTGTCAGTCTTCCTGGGCTGGATCTTAAGTTCTTTTAAATCTAACATCTGCCTTATTAAACCTCTTCACAGTGCAGAAAGTACAAGAGAAGCTATTTCTCAGCTCTACAAAAAGAATAACTGGCTGCTAGTATACTCAATAAAAATATCCAGTGTTTAAATAACTATAATTCATCTTATCTACAATAAAAACATTCTAACTAAGCTCTTAAGAAGCAAATGCAAGTTCACAGAACTAATTTTTATCAATGCTGAATAATTAAAATCTTCAAACTTTTATCTAGTTAGAATATAAAAGTTAGCATTCTTAGTTTTCTCTGTGGGTGTGTTGTCCATTTCTTGTGTCTCCTGTCCCCTCATTTCAGGCTTCTCTGGGCTCAACCTTCATCGTGCCCTGCTGGCCAGGGCAAATTAACACCCAACGTTCTGGCTCCAAGACTGTGTGTCTATATCTATGGGAAGTTCAGGGCACTGTCACCCATGCAGGTATGGTACTTGCTGTGTAGCCTAGGCAACTTCTAACTCACCATAATTCTCCCTCCTCGGGCTCCTGAGTGCTGGGGTTATAAGCATATATTACCACACTTGGCCTTATTATTGGAAACTAGTCTTTAAAAATCATTATTATGTGCAGGTGAGATGGCTCAGTGAATAAAGATACTTCTTGTTAAATCTGATGGCCTGAGTCAATCCTAGGGGCTCACAGAATAGGAGAGGTCAGAGTTGTCCTCTGACCTCCACACGTGCTCTGTGGTACAAGTCCACATAGATACACACCACAATAAACACATATAGTAACAAAATCCTTATTGTATTATACAATCTGGTGGCTTGAACAAAATCACCCCTATAGTATCATGCATTTGAACACTCAGTCCCCAGCTGGTGGTGTAACCAGAGGAGGTTTAGGAGTGGTGGCCTCGTTGGCGGAATTATGTCACTGGAGGTGGATGTGGGCATTGAGAGTTTAAAGATTCATCTCAGCATCATGTTTACAGTTCAAGATTGGGGTTCTTACACCCCGCTCCAGCAGCCATGCCTGCCACTTGCTGCCACACCTCCCTGCTGTGATGAACTCTTATTAGCCCTCTGGGACTGTAAGCCCCAATAAACTCTTTCTTCTGTAAGTTGTCCTGGTCATGGCGTTTTATTATGGCAACAGAGAAGTAACTAACATACAAGTACTCAGTTATTCATGTCTTATTTCATGTGAGCCTAATTTAAAATAGTGTGACTGAAATATTTTTGACTTAAAGAAGAAAATGTAACATGGATTTCATAGAAGCAGTGCTTTGGATTTTGAATTCTGTTTCTGAGTTATGGGTTTGTCATTCATGGGTGTCTTGTGGTGCTGGGTAATTAATTCCAGACCGCATGCCATCATGAGAGTCAGTGGCTGATGCCCAACAATATATTATATTAACAGCATTTGGGGAACACAAGTGTTTAATAAATTGCATGAGGTATTCTTCTTTTAAAATAGGCTTCATACTAGATGATTGTTTCCATTTGTGAGGCTATATCAGTGCTCTGGGCACTTTAAGGCAGGCTATGCTAAACAATAATGTCTGAAAGATTAAATGCATCAGACACATTTTCAATTTACTGTATTTTCAAGTTATAAAGTGTGTATGAAGATGTGACTATTCATCTCCCGAAAAGCACCTGCAGTATTGTGATATCCTGATTCAAACTTTCCCCAAGGAATGACAGCCAGAGAATTACCAATAGATTGAAACTCCAATGTCAGGCCAGGGATCACTCACTCATCAGCTCTATTCAGCCAGCACTGGGGACACGGTGCATCCCATATACTGCAGCAGGTAGGTGCTGGGAAGGGGTCCCAAGTCAGAAGCCATCTCACTAGCCTCTCACACTGCAAACGCTCAGCCCACAGGCTCTCACAGCCCACACAGCAGGGGCTGAGGGAAGGAGAATCCGAGGGTTTAAGAACACGTAGATTACTAAGAAGACACTTAGAATCTATTAAACACTGGAGGTGAAGAATTTAAGAGAGTCTTAGAGAAATCAGGACATTGTCCCTGAGAATTAGAGACCTTGGCAACTACAGTTTGGTGATTCCTGCCCAAAGATGCCGGAGTAAAAGAAGCACCTATGGAATCAGGTGTTCTCTATTGCTCACGGGAAGGAAGTGCCACAGTGAGGCTGCTCTGTGTCTACTCAGTGGGGACACTGACGCAGCAGGGTGGCTTTAGGGTGGGCTTGTGTCACTAGGGGCACAGAGTCAAGGAAGGGTTAACCATGAGTCACCCAGAAGAGGGTAGTTACTGTCTCACCACAGGAATTGTGAGACAGACGGGCTCTTCTATGACATTCCACTATGCCTGCAAGAGAAAGTGGTTCTTAGCTCCTGCCGGGCCTCCCAAGGATATCAGCCTTAATATTCTGTACTGAGTGTACAGCCATATAACCAAGTACTAATAGTGCAGTCTCCCTCTCCTCTCCAGCCTTAACAGATCAGGAGCAGCTGCCTAGAGAAAAAACTGTATCTGTGACTGCCATTGCTATTTCATGGAGATGAGACTATGACAAAATAGTAAACAGGGAAAGCAGTATGCCTTGATTTAAAATGCAAGGCCTATCCAGGACCATGGGGAACAAGACAGGAAGTATCTCTGTCAAAGGAGGGACTAAGAATAAGGTATGCTGGCCCAGGACAAATCCTTACTGACCTGTTTTCTCCAAAGGCCTCACTTCTTAGCTTCTATTGCCTTAAATGATGCCCTTGTGGTGTTAATCTTGCCAGCTTAGCTGGATCTGGAATTAACTACAAAGCAAGCTTCTGGGGATACCTGTGAGGAACTCTCTTGATAAAGTTACCTGAAGTAAGAATAGACCCTGCCAATAGATGTTGGCAGCACTTTCCAGTGGCAGTCTAGATAAATAGGAATTTCTACTGCTGCTGGATCTCTTCCCTGTGATCAGAAGCAAGAATTTTCTGGTGTGCAACACATGTTGAAGGCCAGAAGCTCTCTACGGATCCTTCAGACTCTCAAGGGTGAGGCAGCCATGGTTGGACTACCCATCCTGTATTGTGTAAGCCAAGCTAAAAATCTCCTTTTAAGATACACTCATTCTACTGGG